TAAACATGATGTAACATGATAACTAGCACATTAAAACACAATGGTGTTCTGTAAACATGATAACTAGCAAATTAAAACACAGTGGTATTCTGTAAACATGATGTAACATGATAACTAGCAAATTAAATCATACTGGTGTTTTGTGAACATTATATCTAGCACATTAAAACACAATGGTGTTCTGTAAACATGATAACTAGCACATTAAAACACAATGGTGTTCTGTAAACATGATAACTAGCACATTAAATCACTGGTGTTCTGTAAACATGGTGTAGCATGATAACTAGCACATTAAATCATACTGGTGTTTTGTGAACATTATATCTAGCACATTAAATCACTGGTGTTCTGTAAACATGGTGTAACATGATAACTAGCACATTAAAACACAGCGGTGTTCTGTAAACATGGTGTAACATGATAACTAGCACATTAAAACACACTGGTGTTCTGTGAACATTATAACTAGCACATTAAATCACTGGTGTTCTGTAAACATGAGGTAACATCATAACTAGCACAATAAAACAAACGTTGGTATTTTGTAAACATGAAGTAACCTCATGTTTAGTTCACTGAAGTACGTACTGGAAGTTTTATTACTGTAAAGTGAAGAAACCTTATGTTAAATCTTATCTGTTTACCTTTCTTGGATATTTCATTAAGTAACTGGTTTTGGACTTTACTACTTGTTTCAAAATGTGTAATAAAAATAGATTAACAAAAATCCAGCCATACTGAATTTTTACAAATACATTATTTTTTACAACTTCCCGGGAGTTGATAAAAGGCTTTATTTTAATACTGGGTATTTATAATTTGAGAATTTATTCCATCAGGATAAGGTTACATTGGAGAGATTCAGAAAAACAATATAAATATATTAGCATGATTTATACTACAAACTATACTTGTTTTACAAAATTACAAAAACTGGCACACAATCTATAATTACTTACCAATTACCAGGCAAACAGAACTTTTTCCAATATAACTACTCTTGAAAAAAAGTCATAAAGAAAGAAAACAAACAAGATAACCTGATTAAAAACACCATACAATTTCAACAATAGTTTTATACCATTAAAGTGGATTTATATTAATAAAAATATGAGATTCAATACAATTATACCAAGTAAAACACCAAAGTGATTTTAAGTAACCCCAATGTAACACTGATGTTGTAACTTGGCAACATTTATACAGGTTTGGAAAGCTTCCAAGAACTCCCAAAACTGCACATTAATTACACAAACTATGACAAAAGACTAAAACAACACATCACTATATAACGTTTTTGATGCAAAATGGATAGATACAAAACAACCTTTACACATCAAAATGAAAATATTTTAAAAATCTCGTATACATGGGAATTCTATATTCAGTTTTTTAGCAACCACTTAACAATCCGTAACATAGTGCAGGGTTTCTTGGCCTCCTGTAATATTTACAAACAAAGATATGTAAATCTTCATTTGTATAAGAAAACAACATGCAAGTTTAAGTCTTGGAGAGGTTAAACAAACCACTTTATTTACAGTATCATAGTCTATTAATTAAGATAATCACTAACCCTTACTTTAGTTGTACAGATAAGTTAACCCAGTTAAAATAATCATTAACCCTTACTTTAGTTGTACAGATAAAACTGGGCTAACAGCTTATCTGTACAACTAAAGTAAGGGTTAGTGATTATTTTAACTGGGCTGGTTTATCTGTACAACTAAAGTAAGGGTTAGTGATTATTTTAACTGGGCTAACTTATCTGTATAACTAAAGTAAGGGTTAGTGATTATTTTAACTGGGCTGGTTTATCTGTACAACTAAAGTAAGGGTTAGTGATTATTTTAACTGGGCTAGCTTATCTGTATAACTAAAGTAAGGGTTAGTGATTATTTTAAGCCCAGTTAAAATAATCACTAACCCTTACTTTAG